CTGGCGGGGACTCTCCCCCCACCCCCCGGCTCGGCAGGGTATCCCCTAGGCACTGATTGAGCTCAGGGCTGTGTGCGTTGGCAGGTTTGCTTGGCGCTACCAGCTGCAGGAGTTCAAGAGGCAGTTCCGGGTGGTGGCGCTGGACCTGCGGGGCTATGGGGGTTCGGACGCCCCGCGCGGGAAGCAGCACTACCGGATGGAGGCCCTGCTGGAGGACGTGCATGGTGTCATCCAAGTGCTGGGCACCAAGGACCAGAAGGGTGAGGAGTGGCTGCTGGGCATGTGTGAATGGAGGCCTCCCCCTCTGTGCTTCGGCTGGGGAAGGTACGAGCTGCGAGGGAGCTGGCCCCTCTGGTGGAGGAGAGGAACCTCCCTGCTCAAGCTGTTCCCAGGCGCAGAGGGGCCTTTCCTTGAGACCCTGCTGCGCCCCGCTTTGCACTGTCCCAGATGGCTCCCCCTTTGGATGAGTTGTGGGAGTGCCCAGCCTGACCTGTTCCCGCAGAAGGGGCAGAGGGGTTCTCCTCCAGCCCTGACAACGGCGACCCCAGAGCACCACCGAGGTTGGGTGGGGCGCTGTGAAGCCTGGGATATGCCCCCGACCCCAAACCTTAGCATCTCCCTGGTTGGGCGCCACGTAGCAGCAAGTGGGCAGAGCTTGGCTGCCGTGTGGCAGCGTGGCTGTGCTCTGCTGAGTCGGGAGTTCCATTTCTGGGGTGAGAATTGAATCAATGAGCAGGTGTGTCTACAGCAGAGACAGACACTCAGTGTCCCATCCCACCTGCTTGCTTGCTTGGTCTGTCCAGGCTGTCCGAGCCTCTGGCTATTGCCCCAGTTGGGGAGCAGGGAGACAATGGAGGGGGGCAACTCTGTGGCAGGAGGGAGGTGCGGGGGGTAGGGCAACTCTGTGGGAGAAGTGGACATACCCTTGGCAGGGTAAGGTAGAGGGGGAGGCGGGTGGGGTGGGAGAGGCAGTGGTGGGGCACCCTGACTGTGGAAGTCCAGCTCTGTCCAGCGTCACTCTGCCCTGACAGTCGGTCTGCCTCGCTGTCTCTGCTTCCAGGCTTTACCAAGTGCATCCTGGTGGGGCATGACTGGGGTGGTACCATCGCGTGGAAGTTCGCCATGAATCACCCCGACATGGTGGAGAAGCTCATTATCATGAATGCCATCCACCCGGCCATGCTTAAAGGTGATGCTCTGACCTGCAGGGGTGCTGGGCTCCCCCCCCGAGGGTCTGTGGCAGGTCCAGGATGGAGGGGGCTGGTTCTTGCAGCACAGGCGGCTCTGGTGCCTGCCAGCAGCACGGAGGTTTCGACCAGGTGACAGTAGCACTCCTTGGGGTGGGGAGACGAAGGCTCCTGGGGTCTCTACATTGTGGCTGGGG